ATATAGATGAATGCGAGCAAAACAAAAGGGTGAATGAAAGCAGAGTCATTAAATCTTATTAAGATCTTAAACGATAAGATCGTAGATTATCTTATCAAAATCTGAAAGGATAAGATCTTAGTAAGATAATGTTAAGAAGTGTCTAAGATTTTTACTAGGGTCTGTTTAATAACATTGTTTGGCACAAGTCAACGACCACTCTAACTGTTTCTACACAAATACTTCTGTGCATCAGATCACGATCAAGCTCGTGCGTACAACGATGGCAGCATATTCTCCACCTTGCTGCTTTTGTTTTATCATATTTAGAAAAAGATCGAGGGGAAAAACGGCTAACCTCTGTAATTTGTACATCTCCGTACAGTGGATATTGTTGAAAAGTCATCCCATTGCCTACTATAGACAAATCTACTGCATTAAAAAATGTCGCCTCTGTATTTCTCTGTATTTATTTATTTTGTAGAAAAATGATGTGATGCACTCTCACATTTTTCTTTGTGTTCATTTCATAAATGCACGGCAGCAGGGCAGGGCGAAAAAAGTTGCCCTGCGATATATGCCATCTGGCAACCCCCACTCCCTCCATAATAGAAGACCATCCCCTATTAGAAGATCACTGCCGATTATATGACTTGAAAGCCAAATAGAAGACTATGATCTTCTAACTCCTAGAAGACCACTGGCCTTCTATTATACCCGCCAGAAAAATCGGAAAATGCTCTATACCTATAAGGCAATTTCAAAAAAATTTCGTCAGAATGTTCTTCTAACAGTGGATGAACTTCAAGTACGTGGGGGTCACCGATGGACTACTAGCAGGCAACAAAATTTGACCGCTATAGAAGACCACCCTTTAGAACTCGACTTGCCGGACAAAACAGAAGACCACCTGGTCTTCTATTATGGGGGGGAGGAGGGGCTTTAGAATATAAGGTTTATTATGTGCGGTATATGTATTTGAGCTGTGTATTATACCACAACATTCACCTTGATAAATTGCACCTTTTTCAACATTATCGTTTGTAAATACATTAACCATTTGTTTAAATTGAATATTTAATGCAGAGATGCCGCCGATCAACAAAATCTTGACCGGTACCGGTCGGTCACCGGTATAAATGCGGCGACCGGACCGGGCATTTTTCAAAAACTTTGACTGGTAAGCACCGGTGTTTTTTGCTTTCTGTTCGATATAAATATGCTATTTTCTGTCATATTTTCTAGTTAAAAGCCAAGTCAACCAGGATCGGTCGAGCAGTTTGACCGGAATCGGTCTCAACCGGACCGGACCGAGAACGGATACCCAGTCGTCCGATTCGGTTGCATCTCTGATTTAATGCTTTATTACATCATAGACAAACATTTGTGAGAGATTTTAAATTATGCAAAGTCGTAGTTGTTGAATAGTTTACGTCATGTACAGAATCATTAATTAATTGTTTAACATTTTTGAGTGAAAATAAATCTAAACTGTAAGTTTTATATAAATTTAATAACATTGAACTGCTTCATCGCTGTATTCAGTTTTATATGTACGGTTAACTATATTTGCTTTCTTTCGTTTTAACACAATTATCTATTTCGTTTTCGATAGATATCATTAAATGGAAATGTTTTGTTGAATCTGTTCGATGCAAATAAAGAATAAATTCTTCTTGTTTAGATGCTAGATCAATCGTCATCTAAAACGACCGTATAAACAAAAAAAATAATCTGTATAGTACAGCCACGAAAGATTAATTAATAAAAACAGTATAGTATCCTTCAGCACTCATATCCCGCCTCGACACCGGCAACATCATACATACAAAAAGAAAGTAGTTTGTTAAGCGGACGTTCATACTGCCCTATAAGCGCTATCACTTTTCGTTGACCGAAACAGAAAACCAGCAAAAAAAGCTTCATAACTATTTTCATGTTACTATCTCCACGATTCCCACTATTATACGACTTGGACACATAACGCGACACTTCAGTGATAATATTTAAAATCAGATTCTGGCTAACCGGCTTATGCCATGTTGTACAGCATAGTCGATAGTATATAGAAACATATTTTTTAGTCGCCTATAGGCTAAAGGTTCGAGGTTATACGACATTCAATGATCATTTGCAGACATCGCCTACAAAGCGTCTTCAGCGAGCTACTTTTGTGAACCTAAGGCATTGCAACCCACGCAAATATCACCTATGAGAAAAATCTAGATACATTTCGTCTGTAATCGGGCGATACCCGACTAGTTGTCATCTAGATTACTAGTTGGAAAAGGCACTTTTAACTAGATGCGTCTGCAGGCGCATCTAGCAATAGTTGAATCGATCGATTATCGGGCGATAAATCAATAGTTGCAACTAGAAAAAATCTAGTAATCACCCAGTTACTAGATTTCCACGGTCGTTACACAGTAGTTGCAATCGAGTAAAAATCTAGTAATCTAGATGAATCGGGCGATACTAGATTTTTTTTTGACGCTTGGGCGTCTTAGTATCAGTGGCTCAAACAAGTTCCAGCAATGTATCATTTTCACAACATTTTTGATTGATCTATAATCATAATCTTTAACCAACAGGCCTTGAAGGCATACACTTTCTAAATATTTGGCTTATCATATATAACAATCTTATGTCGCACATTTATTTTTCTTCATAAAGATGTCCAGTTTTAGAATTTTTCCTTTCTTTCAAAAGACAACTGTGCTGTCTGTCTTACAAATCGGGGCACACGTTTTGTGTACACGGGTTCTTAATACATACAACAGCAAAATAAAAAGAGAAATAAAGAAGCTACTTCTACAAAATATGTACATAACTAAGATTTAAGAGAAAAAATAATAATTGTCTGATCGTATGCTATATAGCATACTAGTATGCTTTCTTAACTATTTGATCTCAAACTCAAAACTCGAATGTTCGAACATTTTTGGAGTTGAGCTCAAAATAGAATTGTTTAGAGGCGCACTCGACCTTCGAACTATGGTCGAATCCGAATATCAAACATTGAACATTCAGCTTCGTAATATGCCTGTTTGTTTTATTTCAAGGACTGGTTTGATGCTCCATCGTGCAACTTCCTTTACTAGAAATTAGTTTCCGACGTCACTCGCACACTGCTTTCACAAACAACTCCCTAACATTTGTCAGAAACATGGTTAAACCTACCATGCTAATACACACTTTTGCATCGATTGATAATTATCTAATAGATTAATACTTCATGGCTGTAGGGTACACCAGTGTTCACTATTTCTTTTCGATATTAATATCAAACACAGAAACGAACAACTTATATGCTTAGACTTAAATTATATGTCAAAAGAAAGGTATAAGTCTTGTTCACGGAAGAGTTGTGTCACGCATATCCATGATTAGAATTAAAAAAAATGTTTTTAAATATACAAATCAGCGTTCACATTACATTTTAATGTCGTTTTCTCAGCGAGACAAACATGTGACTAGTTTGCTTAACTACATGTAAATCTGTCAATTTCGTGAAGATATGGAAATAAAAGTTTCCGAAGTTTCCTCGAGTATGCCACAGACTTTAAAAGCTTGGTATCGGAACCTAGGAGAGCTAAGTGATGTCTGTATTTCAGACATTACCTCGGCATGTTCTCCATTGAAAAAAAAGAGAACTATTAGGAGTATAGAAATCGAGAATGCCTACCCTCATCGTTCCTAATCAAATATGTTTTTCAAGAAATATTTCTCATTTGATAGAGTTTTCTACTAGATTATGAGTTTGCTGTGTCTCTTTTTTCAGAAAATCACTTGAAAAATTGACAGATCTTTAAAATGAGTCTCAGAAACCTTTTTGTCATATTATTTGATAACACACTTACTAAAGGAATTGCAGAATGGCTTGTCCAAATGTTACGAAATTTCATTTTTTCGTCTTCTGTGCCCTTTATCTCGGCAAAGAAGCAACGTTTATCAATGAAATTTATTGGATATTAGGGGGTTCTACAACCAAAAATAATTTGAGCTTGATTGAACAAGCGGATCAAAAGTTATAGTCAAAGTAGAGGCCGTTACGGAATTTCAAAAAATGAAAGTGTTTTTCGGCGTATTTCAGTAAAATATAAATTATTCAGCCTTAAATTAATTTTAAAATGATTGCGTAGTTATCATTAAAGTTTAGTTTGGGCTATCAGAATCACTACTCACTTTTTCTTGAATTAGTTCCCTGTTAGAATAAGTCGAATAAAAGTGACCGTTACGGAATTTTAGCGTTTTTTGCTCTTCTTGCAGATGGTTTGGTATATAAGTTTTCTGTCACAGACTTACATAGCAAGCTCTGATTTGCACATAGATGGATAGTTTGAGGTACCCTTCATTCCATGCAGCCCAAAATAAATTTTTAAAGTTAGATTAAATGGGCATGGAATTGCCCACAAAATAAGCGCCAAAAGTTTTTTAGAAAATAAAAAAAATTTGGCATCTAAACGTCAAAACAACTGAGCTCTTTAGTAGAGGATTTAATTCTCTATCCAACGGTATAGTTTCCAGCAATTTTGAAAAAAGTATCTAGGTCAGGAAATTAAGTTTAAATTTCACTACGAAGATTTGATTTTCATTTCGGGTCCAGATTTGTAATCACCGTGAAAAACTGCCTCTAATGATGTATTTTTAAGCTTTATTCAAGTTAAAACAAAAATTCGAACCTTCTCATCCGAAGGTGAACCGTTAGCTGGCCACGCCGGGAAATGATTCCATGTTGAATCTTTGTTAACAGAATACTCACTCGTTACAAATGTCTAGTAAATGGCAATATATTACTCAGTTGAAACTGCGGGCGTTTATTAGTTACGTTTCAGTATTACATGAAAGGCTCATTATTCTGCATTATGCATGATTTTATTGTTGAGAATCAACAAGAAACTGTAAAAAGAAAAGGAATAGATTCTAGCATGATCAATCATATATAAAATCGTGGTAAAAAACTCTGAGAAAACTGAATAGAATCGAAACATTAACCTCTTGCAACACAAATCGATCCTTTTTTAGCATTTCCGTGATAACAGGTTAATCCTGGACAACATTGTGGACGATCATAACCACATGTCCATATTTCTGGTGTACATTGCATTTGTTGTTGTTGCTGTTGTTGAGGATTATAGCCTCCAAATGGAAAAAACTGACGTTTTTGTTCATTATCTTCGATTTCAAGATCATCCAACATGTTGCGGAGTTTATCCAGTGCTGAACGAGGATAAGAGTTCGTAGGACTGAATAGACAAGTAATTGCAAATACAACAAAGGCAAATAAACAAAAATATCGCATTTTGATGATAAATACTTGTAAAAGAATAGCGGCAGTATAGAATAGTTTTCAAACTTAAAATAAACAAAATAAACACCTATGCCGTTTCATTTGATATTATGTATGGGAAGTGGTAAGTTATAGCGGAATCTATGATGACCATCAATGAAAAAGACTTATAAGTAACTGAAGTAACTATTAGATTTCTGTGTTTACATACAAAGAAACTTGTTACTTACTTTAGTACTTTAACAGGAAGATGACGTTGACCTAACACGAATCGGAGTATATAAATATTAATATTAATAAATAGTATATAGTAAAAAGTATTTCTTGTTCTTTGTTCTAGATTTTTACTGTAGACTTATCAGAAAGTATAAAGAGATGTACTACACATATTCAGTTGTTATAGTTTTTTCTTTTTCAAGCGTAGAACAATTAATATTGTACAGTATAAATATTTACTAGTGACCTATTATGTCAATAAAGAAACATTATCAAATATAATAAATGATACGTTACATGGATAGTACTCCCTTTTATTAGACTGTTAACAGCTTTATCATACGAACAACGTCCCTTTCCACTAATAATTATATACATTAATTTGAGTGTTTTCCAGATGAGATAAATCTTTATAAGTCGAGAAACTTCAAATACTTCATCAAAATTGATGTCATCCAAAAGGAAATGTTGCCAGAAATATATGTTTATCCTTCTTTCTGACGTAGGACCAGAGAGAGATGTCGGATCACAAAATGAAGGTAAAATGCTTTTTCCCGACACTCTTAAGTACAGTGGGAGTTTTTAGCATACACACCCACCACAAAATCGAAGGTCATGATCTTCTATTATGATTTCGAACTTTAAACATTTTTTTGAAAATGTCGTGCTACGGACGATGTTGAAAAAACGTTTTGCTCCAAACTAGCCTACTATTATGAGGAGAATTTTGGCATGTGTATAGTAATTTATTCTTGGGTTTTCAAATTTTTCATGAATTATTATCGCTGTCTGACATTCAAAATGCCTGTACAAAGAAAAATATTTCAGAAAAATATCAAGTTTTCCGAAAAATAGTTAAGTGACTATCAAAGGAAACGTTTTGTTCAAATAATCATTGTATTATATATAGTTCGATTCAGTTTGACGAGGTGATTCCGGATATGATGTTTTTTAAAAAAAGAACACTTTTTTATCGAAAAAAAGCCGATTTTCGTTCAAAAGGGTTCATTTGTTAATAAACCTTTATATAAGACTAGGAAAAAATATACATGTTTGTTGAATTAACCCTCATCCGCCCACCTATAGGACTATCACTTGTTGCCCACCTGGGGTCCGTCCGGATCCCAAGTTGATAAAACAGGTTTAAAAATCACTGTTAAGACATGGAACATTTTTAATAACATATTCGGATTCAGCCTCGAATGATGAATATTTTCAAAAAAAAACCAAATCTTCAGCATAAAATTTGT